GGGGGGGGGGGGCGTGGGGCGGGGCGGGGGGGGAGCATGCGTGGCAGGGTGTGGCGGGCGTGCATGAGGAGCAGGACCCCCCCGGGCTCGTTGGCCCCCTCCCAGGAGGCCCCCGCAGCCACACCCACGGGCTCCGCAACCGCATCCACCACCCCTTCCCCAGGGTCGGAGCCCCGTTTCCTGTTGCTAGGGGTCACTGGGGAGGGGGTGTCCCTTCCCCACCCCCTGCCGTTGTGCGCCTTGTTTGTTCCTAAGAGGCCCCTCCGCCCCGCCGTCTGCTGGGGAGCGTTTCCGTGAAACTCCCTCTTCTTCCTCCGAGCTCCCAGGGACCGCTCTTGGCTCTCCTCCCGGGCGCTTCTCCTCTGCGCCAGGCTCCCGGCACGCTCCTCAGGCTGTGCCCGCTTCCGAGACCTCCTGACACCCCCCACCTCGGAGTGCCCCTCCACGTGTTCATCGTGCTTTGCCGGCTGTCCTTCCCCACCTCCCATGACTTTCCGGCCTCCCCACAGAACGCTGCTCAGCATCCCCGCTAGGCTGGGGGGGTGGGTGGCGGCCCTGTTTCTCTCCTCCCTTCCCCATAATCAGCTGGATGTTTCCCAGCATCCCTGTTCTCTCTAGCACAGCCTCTGCACCACCACCCCAAGCAAATGGTCCTGGGGAGGTGAGTTCCCCCCCCCCCCAATCTGGCATTCATGAAGGCTGACTAACACCAGGTCACCCGCTCTCCTGAGAGCCAGTTTGGTATAGTGGTTAAGTGCGTGGACTCTAATCTGGGAGAACCGGGTTTGATTCCCCCACTCCTCCACTTGCACCTGGCTGGATGACCTTGGGCGAGCCATAGTTCTGATAAGGGCTGTTTTTGAAAAAGAGCAGTCTCTGCCAGAGCTCTCTGAGCCCCACCTAACTCACAGGGCGTCTGTCTGTTGTGGGGAGGGGAAGGGAAAGGAGTTTGTGAGCCACTCTGAGACTCCCTTGGGTAGTGAAGGGTGGGGTAGAAATCCAATCTCCTCCTCCTCTTCTTCTTCTTCCAGCTTTGGCCTACTAAGGAAAGGGCCTCCTAGGAGCACACCGACCCTGCTGGGCGGCTTAGAAAGCTATGCCCTGCCCCGGGCATGCACTTCCTCGGAAGTGTGGGCATTCAGAAGAGCCATCGCTCTGGCGTGAGGCAGTTGCTGGGGAGCAGCTAGTTCCCTCCCCCCCACACACACATCTACAAGGGTTCTCACAGGACTCGGCCGCTCCCCTTCCTTGGACAAACCATGGCCCCGCTGCGGGTGGCCTTTGGGGAACCCATGGCTGGTTCGGCCCCCTCCTGTTTGATTCCTGTCACTTTGCTTGGCTATCAGAGTCAGTCCATCCCTTTTTGTACAATCTCGGCCTGATGGGGATGGTCTTTGGGCCAAAAGTCCCAAGCTTGGCTAAGAGGCGGAATGTGGCCATTTGGGGAAAGGCCTGGCGAGGCCCAGCAGTGCAGCCCGTGGTCCAGTAGTGTCTACTCAGACTGGCAACGGCTCTCCAGTTTCTCAGGCAGAGATCTTTCCCATCACCTCCTGCCCGGTCCTTTCTAACTGGAGATGCCGGGGATTGAACCCGGGACCTTCTGCATGCCAAGCAGATACTCTTATCAATGAGCCACAGCCCTTCTTCACAGTTCTCCAGGGCCTCAGATGAAGGTCTTTCCCATCACTTCCTGCCTGGTCCTTTTGAACTGGAGATGCCGGGGATTGAACCCGGGACCTTCTGCATGCCAAGCAGATACTCTTATCAATGAGCCACAGCCCTTCTTCACAGTTCTCCAGGGCCTCAGATGAAGGTCTTTCCCATCACTTCCTGCCTGGTCCTTTTGAACTGGAGATGCCGGGGATTGAACCCGGGACCTTCTGCATGCCAAGCAGATACTCTTATCAATGAGCCACAGCCCTTCTTCACAGTTCTCCAGGGCCTCAGATGAAGGTCTTTCCCATCACTTCCTGCCTGGTCCTTTTGAACTGGAGATGCCGGGGATTGAACCCGGGACCTTCTGCATGCCCAGCAGAGGCTCTGTCACTGAGCCACGGCCCCTCTTTACAGCTCTCCAGGGTCTCAGGCGGAGGTCTTTCCCATCACCTCCTGCCTGGTCCTTTTTGACTGGAGATGGTGCCAGGGATTGGACCTTCTGCATGCCGAGCAGAGGCTCTGCCACTGAGCCACAGCCCCTCTTCACAGCTCTCCAGGGTCTCAGGTGGAGGTCTTTCCCGTCACCTTCTGCCTGTTCCTTTTTAACTGGAGATGCTGGGGATTGAACTCGGGACCTTCTGCATGTCAAGCAGAGGCTCTGCCGCTGAGCCACAGCCCCTGCCCTCTCAGGCCAACCGTGAGGGCAGTGGGCAGGCTGAGCGGCAACCTGTCCCAGAGCTGATCCTGGGCAAGGGAAGGCAGGGATGGGCTCCAGTGAAACTGGGCTTATGGAAGGGGAGTCCGGCAGGAGCCCCCAGAGTCTTGCCCTGAGGCCTGGGCCACCTCCCTCCGAGAGTCTCTTGCCTTTGTGGCATGTGGTGTATGCAAAGCTGCATGGGAAGTGTTGCATGTGGGGGAAGGGGGCGCAGCAGGGAGGGGGGCACGCTTGCGCCGCTGCTTCCCCGGGGGTCCACGTCCTGGGATGCCACTCCCCAGCCTCACCAGAGGCCACGATCCAAGGCTCTCTCCCCAGTTGGCAGAGGCCGGGAGGGGGCAGCATGCCAGGGAGGAAACGCCCGCAACCCCTGCCATTGATGTCTTGTACTTTGTTTCTTGATTCCAAGCCTCGATGCGGAGGAGGAAAGGGGGTGAGTGCAACGGGCCCGACTCAGGGCCTCTCCCAGTCCTCTTTGGTTCGTGCTGCCCCACAGCCCCCAACGAGGGAGGGAGGGAGGGAGGGAGGAGACTGGACTTGGGGGGTGGGGGATCCTGCCTGGGGCTTCCAGGCCACTGGCTTCTTAGGAGGGCGTGAGCCCGAGGCAGCCCTGGCCCTCCTGCCACGCTGTAAGTTGGGTGTTCCACCCTGAGCGATTGTGCGGACTCGCCCTGCTTAATCCGCTTGGACTCCCAGGGAGAAAGGGAGGGCGGTTAGTAACTGAAAGAGAGACACGCTGGAGTTTCTGGGAGGAGAGGTTCTGGGGCGGAAGATGGCATATGCCACTCCCCGTTGTGTCCCTTGTCTCCATGTCTGGGTGGCCTCTTGGAGTGCTGGCTTCTGAAATGTTATTTATGTGAGTAATCTCTTTCCCAGTTTTCTCTGGACCCTTGGGGGGGCCTGCCAGTATTGCGGCACACAATGTGGAAGGGGTTTTTTTCCTATAGCCGCCTCTGTACCTTGTGCTTCCAGAGGTAGCCAGATGTCTCCGTGGGCCCTGCCAACACTGAGCGCAGGGCCCTGGCAGACCCCTCTCCCACGAAGGGAGGTCATGGCCATGGGCCTTTGCGCATCTTTGCACAACAGCCATACAAACAGATGGACCACAAAAGTCACAGTGGAACACAGTCTACTTAAGCCAGTTTGGTGTGGTGGTTAAGTGTGCGGACTCTAATCTGGGAGAACCGGGTTTGATTCCCCACTCCTCCATTGGCACCTGGCTGGGTGACCTTGGGCAAGCCGTAGTTCTGACAAGAGCTGTTCTTGAAAAAGAGCACTTTCTGTCAGAGCTCTCTCAGCCCCACCTACCTCACAGGGGGTCTGTCTGTTGTGGGGAGGGGAAGGGAGAGGAGATTGTAAGCCACTCTTTGGGTACACCTTTGGGTAGCGAAGGGCGGGGTATAAATCCAATCTCCTCCTCCTCCTCCTCCTCCTTCTTCTTCAGCTACTACCAGGGTTATCTCTGTGTGCCCCCCCCCAGCTTTTCCAGAGAAGTCTGTACATTGCCCTCTGCAAAGCAAGAAGCCCCGGGGGGGGGGGTCTCCTCATTGCTGTAGGTCCAGCTTCCCTGAGTAGAACAGCCTCCTCCTTTTGCCAGGACTCAGTAGCAACGCTCCCTCTAAGCTGTGGAGTCATGTGAGCAAAAATTCTGCTTTGTGAGCTGCTGGCATTAAAGTTGTGAGCAGGCGATTTGGCTCCTGCCGAAATTAGTTTGCCTGGAGCCACCTCCTTCCTGAGTCAAGACGAAAATGTGTGAGCCGGAGGCTAAAAAACTGTGAGCTGGCTCACACTCACTCAGCTTAGAGGGAACGCTGCTCAGTCGCGAGAGGATAAAGGGTGGAATGCCTTGGACACATATCAAACGAGGAGATCCCTGGGTCAGTTCCAGGAACGGACAAATGACTCTCCTTTCCGTTTGCATTCAAAAGAACAGTGAGTGACTGTTGACAGCCAAATGCCATCAAACAGATGAATCAGCACAGAAGTGTGAGGCCCGCCGCGGTGCAGAGGTTAGGCTGAGCGTGCAGAGCAGAGTCTTATCCCCCGGCTGCCACGGGAGCTCGCTGGCTGACCCTGGGCTAGCCATAAGCCAGTCCGGGTCTCCACCGGGGAGAAGTCAGCAAGTGAAGGGAATCAGACTGGCTGAGGCCACTGCAAGCGTAGCCACGGAATGGGTCCGCAGCTGCGTGGAGGGATTTTCAGTGGGAAACCGGCGGGCGGGAGAGATTGGGCACCCTTGCACCTTCCCGGCCCCTTCGCTCAGTCGTAGACTCTCCAAAGGTCTTTTGACAGCAAGACAAGCTGGGCCGGGCCTTGGCACACCCCTTGGCACGTAAGGGGCAGCTGGCCCCTTGCTGCTAAGAACCAAAATAAAGCTGTCCACAGCTCGGAGGGCCGTTTGGGTCAAACGAGCTGGAGAAGAAGGCGCCTATGTGGCCTGGCGGTCTTTCTGGCAGCCACCAGGGATGCCCCGTCGTGGCAGGGAGGGCGAAATCCAAGGGCTATCTAGGAAACGGAAAGGAGCAGCGTTGGGCCAGCATCCGTTGGGGGATGCGGAGCAAAGCTGA